TCTCCATCCATTGAACAGCTCATCTCCATCCATTGAACAGCTCACCATCCATTGAACAGCTGATCTCCATTCATTGAACAGCTCATCTCTATCTATTGAACAGCACATCTCCATTCATTGAACAGCTCATCTCTATCCATTGAACAGCTTATCTCCATCCATTGAACAGCTCATCTCCATCCATTGAACAGCTAATCTCCATCCATTCAACAGCTCATCTCCATCCATTGAACAGCTTGTCTTCATCCATTGAACAGCTCATATCCATCCATTGAACAGCTTGTCTCCATCCATTGAACAGCTCATCTCCATCCATTGAACAGCTCATCTCCATCCATTTAACAACTTTTCACAATCAATTTAACAGCTCATCTCCATCCATTGAACAGCTCATCTCCATCCATTGAACAGCTCAACTCCATACATTGAACAGCTTAACACCATACATTGAATAGCTCGTCTCCATTCATTGAACAGCTCAACTCCATAGATTGAACAGCTCATCTCCATCTATTGAACATCTTTTCACAATCAATTTAACAGCTCATCTCTATCCATTGAAAAGCTCATCTCCATCCATTGAACAGCTCATCTCCATCCATTGAACATCTTATCTCCATCCATTGAACAGCTCGTCTCCATTCTTTGAACTGCTCATCTCCATACATTGAACATTTTTTCACCATCCATTGAACAGCTCACCATCCATTGAACAGCTGATCTCCATTCATTGAACAGCTCATCTCTATCTATTGAACAAATTTTCACCATCCATTGAACAGCTCATCTCCATCCATTGTTTCCATCCATTGAACAGCTTGTCTCCATCCATTGAACAGCTCATCTCTATCTATTGAACAAATTTTCACCATCCATTGACCAGCTCATCTCCATCCATTGAACAGTTAGTCTCCATCCATTGAACAGTTAGTCTCCATCCATTGAACAGCTTGTCTACACTTAACCACAATAATGATCAACAGATGTAACAAGCGTGGAATACAAATTCCACTAATAGGCATGTTTTATTAAAAATGAATTCACAGATTTGCACTCGAGCGTAGTACACTTCAGATAGTTTTCGCTGTCGCTATAACATATTGACTATTTATCACTATCGACAGATCACTAAAACTTTCACAAGGCTTTGATACAGAATTCAGTAATCAGTGAATAAATGAAAACAAAAACAAATGAAATATTGACAAAGTTTTCCTTGTTACATCAAAAAAGGACACCAAGCTAATTAGCTGTGGCTGTACCTGGCTGAACTGAGTGGTGAGTTAGCAGCTGTTACCTGAGCAACAGCCTGCTCTATGTCACAGGTCTTCACTGCATGTGTCTAAATGAGTCTGTCACCTGATGATATTTCTATAGCATTAAATAGCAGCTTTATTGATAAGCACTTATGCAAAGAAAGGGGAAAAAAAGAAAGGAAAACAGTATCTTTGACAGTTAAAATTTCACGGTTATGTGCATATGTCAGATTTCTGAAAGGTTTACTTCTGCGGAAATAGTGAAGCTTATATCCTGGTATGATATGATGAGTTCTTGTACCGAAAAGCCTGAAATGTATAAACTTTATCGTGGTATAAATATGTAAAAAAAATAATGTAGATAAATGGTATTGCCTTCTTTATGACCAGATTTGAACAAACCTTTGCAGAGTCTTCAATTGACGCCAGGCATTTAGCAATTTGAAAAGTTAAATAGTGGAAGACATATCAATTAGACTGTGGAAGTCAAAGCTGAGTTCAGGATTTATCAGAAATATCTGTTTTTGTACCACATTACATGTACATTATATACTTGTGCATCCGTTTTAAAACTTTTACTCTCTTTACCTGAAAGAGAGTTATGCCCCTTTATAAGGAACAATATTGTCATGGCAATTACTTCTTAACTACTAGACAGATTTAAATGAGATTTTTTTTTGTTTTCTTTGTATCATGTATTTTGACATAACAGTCATTCAGTGGCTTATACTTTTAAGTAGAGTTTGTCCATGCCCCATGAAAAATTTGAAAAATTGCATGCATGGGTGTGGTTTTTATCAAATGGTTACAAACCCTGAGATGGTGCTGAGAGGCAGGGCCCAACAGTGGAGATATTGGCAACATGATTATTTTTCCATACTTTATTTAGTTTCCAGGCGAGCAATACAGGCCCTATTGGCCTCTTGTTAAAAAAATAAACTGTAACTGTCATTTATTTACAAGTGGTATTTACGGTAAATAAAGTCTACAACACTAGTCCAGAACAACATGTACACATGGCTACATGACCTGAGAATGAACCTCAGATGTCTGCATGTCTTGGCTTAGAGCTGGAACGTGGTAAATGTATGCAGGTCTATGTATACATGTAGGCTATCTAAAGGCTGATGATAAGGTTATATATCTTTATGTAGTTGTCGTGTCTAGGCCCTGAATAAAGTGTGATGTACTGTCAGATTAATGAGCTTTTTCACTTTGCGAGAGTTTACTATCAATTAATGTGAATACCTGTTGTTTTTTCACCTGTTCTTTTGTGAAAAGTAGTACAGGTGTCCAGATTAGAGAGTCTGTGTGCAGCCTTGGGAGGGTCTTTTGTTAAAGTGAATGACTTTGACTTATATTCAAGGTCACAGGAGTCAAATTTGTTTAAAATCTTCTGAATAACCATGGGTCCCAGGATGTTGATACTTTGCAAATTGCATCCTGAGATGAAAGGCTATACAATTTGTTCAACATAATGACTTTGTTCGACTTTTAATCACAGGGGTGGAATGTTTTGAAAAAAAAAAAATGGGTCTTTTGAATGAATTTTAATCATAAATACTGATATTTTGCCTGTAGCTTTATTTTAGAACACTTTTAAGGTTACAAGTGTGAGATTTATACCAGGTGAGCGATGTAGGCCCATTGGGCCTCTTGTTAAAAGTCACAGAATTGATTTCATTAGAATTTTATAGGAAGCTTCCATGGCCAAAATTTAGCAACAATTGTTGAGAATATGGTCACCCCCTGCTCCCGTACTGTGGACCTGACAGCAGAGCCCAAAGGGACCAATTTGGCTTAAAATCCAAGAAGATTCTTCAGACCCAAATTATGCTAGAGTCAAATATTCTGCTTTAATACAAAGGTCCTTCGGTGTGGTATAGGGAAATTGTGGATTTTTATGATCCCCAGTTTACTCATTTCCCCTTGAAATTTTTACACGAAATTGGCTTAAATTCCAAGAATATTCTATATGCTATAGAGAAATTTAGAATTTTCATGACCCCCCCCCCCCCTTTACCCCTTTTCCCATTTTTACTAACAGCAATAGCAATAGATAATGTTTCTTTATATTTTCAGGCACTATAGGACCACCTGCAGTGTAACAGTAGTTATTTGTCCATGTAGAAGAATCGTAAAGCTCTTTGATGGATGGTTAAGTCATGTCAAGGTAAGTTTGTAGTGGAACAGGATTGTAGCGATCACTATTGACTAGGTAGCTCCACTGATTCTAGCCTCTCTCTAGAGTTTCGAGGTACTGGGTTTGAATCCCGGTCTGGTTGTTGCATGTTTCCTTTCTTATTACATTTGGCTACTAGCTACATATACCCATGGTTGTACAGGCTAGGGTCTTATGTGTCTTTGGGATTGAAGACGAAGGAAGTGGCAATCGCTGGTGACCAGGTAGCTCCGTTGGGCAAAGTGTCCATCTAGAGTTTTGAAGTTCCAGGTTCAAATCCCAGTCTGGCAGTTGCTTTGTTAATCCTTTCCTGTTAAAGCTGTTACCTTTTGTACTAGACCAGGTATTTTTTGCACCTCTGAAGACTCCTAATGATCTTGATTCATGTTTAAGGCCATTGGACTTTGTTTGTTTTATTGTTCAGGGTTTTACATCTTTGCAACAGTGAAGCCATGTAAAGAAACCTCTCAGTCTTTTTGACCACCCTGGGGTCCAGCCGTGCTCTGAGGACTTAGTCCCTTGGTTGTAACTTGAAAACAGTGGAGGTTTCCTCCTCATAACCTCATATAAGCATAAAAAGACAGATAAGTTGATGTTACAAGAACTTGCATCATGGTCTGACCCCAGGAATTATTCCCTATACTACATTGAAACAGTCTAGATATCCAACTCTATACAAAAAGTACTAGGCATGAAGAGACAAACATGGTCATGCTACCATGATTGGTTTCTGTGTCGGCCTCAGAACCAATGATTTAGTCCCTTGGTCATAACTTGGAAAAAGTAACTCAGAAAAAGTGAAGATTCCCATCCTTTAACCATGCTTACATGTACAATTCCTTGGCATGAAGAGACAAATACTGTCATGCTATCAGGATTGGCTCAAGGGTCCAACCCCGAGCCTGGTGACTTGTTGTTACTGCGACTGAAATGGAAACAGTTGAGATCCTCACCTTAACACCACAAATATGTGATTGTAAAGCATGAGAAGACAAATAATTTTTTGCTACCAGGGTTTGCCTTTAGGTCTTGGGGAGTTGTACCTATATTATAACATGATCATGGTTAAGATACTCAACTTTAGGAAACATGAACATTTCATGTAAATGTACCTGGGCATGAAAAGACGAACACACTTTCGTTATCAGTACGGTACTGGCCCAGGAGTCGGGGCCACCACTTCAGAATTAGTTCCAGAGTTTTAGCCAAGACTTTTTAACAGATATTCACATATCTCCACCAATGCTGTTTTAGAAACATACTGGATTCTTGAGAGCAAAGCTCCAATCACTTTCCGTCCGTCGTCGTCCGTCGTCCGTGACATAAGCTTTGCTCAAGTGACCTATTCCAATCACTTTCTGTCCGCCGTCGTCCGTCGTGCGTCGTGCGTAAACCTTTACATAATCAACTTCTTCTCAAGAACCAGTGGATGGAATTTTTTAAAACTTGGTCAGAATCATCCTTGGTAGATATGAGGATACCAAATTGTAAAATTGGGATTCCTACCCCAACCCTAGGGGCCAGGGCAGGGTCCAAAAGGGAAAATTTACCAATATTTCAAAAATCTTCTGCTCCAGACTCAGAGGTATTACAGCCATTTTCGCTGCATGGATGGAAAGATCATCAGGGGCTTTATTTACATTGTAAATTTCAGGACCCCCGAGCTATCTGTTCTCCCTTGGGGAGGGGGTAAAGTTTACTATAGTTTATATAGGGAAATAACTCTTGTGGGTATATATTTTATCCATTTTCAGCAGAAAATTACTCAAACTTAGTCAGAATCATCTTTGGTGAATGAGAGTATTACTTTGGAAAATTGGGATTCCTGCCCCATCCCAAGGGGCTAGGGCGGGGCCCCCAAGGGAACATTTACCAATATTTTCAAATTCTTATCCTCTGATGACATGACAAGTATTGTATTTCACTTAGTTTACATGCTGATTTCCACATCACATCTAAACAATAAAATAAAGTTACCAGTACCTATGATATAACTCAGGTGACCGCTAGGGCCCTTGGGCCTCTTGTTTTTTTTACATCCAACCCGATAACAACACATCTATTTCTGTATCAGTTACAAATGTTTATCTTACACTTGAGGAGATATAAGACATTGCATGATGGGTAAAGAAGCTGGGAGGAAGCAATTATTTCCTAGAAAATGGAAATCATTCTCAGAATTTAATCGAGTTGAACGGTAACATTTAGCTGTCTAACTTACTGTAAAATTTCTCTGCTGGGTTTTGTGTAATTGCTTCAGATGGCTGACTTAAATTCACAGTGCGAACTCTATTGTTTTCTATAATTGGCAATACTTTGCTGCAGTTTGTTAAAATGAGACTGACAGGTGTTTTTGTTAAGTTAAATATACCTAGTCCCTGGTGGGCTTATAGTTTTAGTAGTCCTTCTAAAGGTCATATGGTATTTCTACAGTTTAGATGTATTAACAGACACTTGTTGACCATAAACGGGAAGCTTATAATCTATCAGGACATTACATCAATAATAAATATGAGTTACATTTGCCTTAACATAAAAGTTGTAATTGGAACAGTAACTGCTGTACATATAGTGTAATTTGTATGAGCAACAAGTATGCATGTAGCTTTTACAGGAATTGAACCTGGATGACCCCAAACTTTCATGTCCGATTCGCTTTCTCTGTCGGCTATATAGAGAATAAAACATGCCTTTTTCCATATCACACCCAGGATCAACCCGAGACTCCAATATCAGCCAGAGTGCCGAAGGCTGATATCGGTCAAGGGTTGATAATGGGTGTGATATGGAAAAAGGCATGGTTGTTTTCTGTTTATTATATACTTACTAATAAAATACGGATAGATTTTTTATCTTAATATTTCTTTTTCTTTTGAAATATTGAAAAACGAAAAAATGTCCAAGAGGGGTGTGATATGGGTTTGGGGTGTGATACGGCGGGGGCTGATACAGGGGGTTTGGGGTGTGATACGGCGGGGGCTCATATGGGTTAGAGCAATTGTGTCGTAACACATATACAAAAAAAACGTTTTTATTAGTAAGTATGTAATAACAGGAAATAACCTATCTGAAGCTACTATCGACAGACTGGGAAAAATTCAGTGGTAGTTTTAAACATTTTCCTTTTACTCCCATCATAATGATACTTAACTAATCATTACAGAGACCCCTAGTTAATAACATACTTTACATAGTAGTTCAATGCTAAGGGGCAAAATTAACTCTGGGCAAAGACTGATTTTACCGGTAAATAGCGAAAGTTTAACTTGGTGAATGTTTTCTGGTATAAAGTATTTTGAAACAAAATATTCATCAAATGATACCAACATTTTATTATCTGTTGTGACAATACATTTTAAAAATCTTAATGTTCTTGTCTGAATGTTTGCTCATGTCCTGAATGAAGATTTTCGTAAATGCTCACAATCCTTGAAGAGCAACGTACAAAATGGATAAATCTTGACCAGTTTGCTTTATTGGTGACATTCACTGATAATTTTCATATGTAAATCCTGAGAGTAGAATCGTCCCCCTAATGGGCCAATAGAATTGGTGCCGTCTCGCATGGCAATATTTGATCCTGGCAGGACCTGCTGTCCATTAATCAATTCCTGTTGTACCTGGCAGCATAGATGTTGTTAACACATGGTTTTCCAGACTTCTTACATTCAATCCGACTCAATGAGATGCTTTATGTAAATCAAGTGTTTGTTTGCAGTTCCAAATACAGAAAACTGGAGTTAAAAGTGGTAAGTTCTTATCTTCTACTTTGGTACATACAGTAAAAAAAACTTCCTCGAACTCGATTTACTCCAATACCCCTCATTTTTCGAACAGTTTGTTTGGTCCCAACCGAGTTCATAAATATTCTTTGTAAAGTAACCCCGGATTAGTCAAACTGTTATTCCTCGAATACCCTAGTGTATTCCTCAAACAAAATTTTGTTCGAGACTCTTCATGGTCATAGTATTAATCCTACCTATTTGTCGAACAGGTGTGACCTGTCACGCCTGACAGATTTTTACCAGTGTATCACACCGGTGCTGCCATCTCGAGGCACAGGCTGCAGTCCACACTCATTGTGCTTATACAGGTGTCAGCTTGACGTCGGATAATTAGAGGATTAAAGGCAGTATCATTAAGTAACTGTACTGTTACCCTGTTGGTTTTGCATTATCATTCCGGGTGCATATTGTTTTTTTCCTGAAGATGTTTTGACACCGATGATTTGGCGGCAGTGTTCATTCACTGGGTGTGTAAAGCCATATTTCGGCATGGCAATATTAAGCGGAAATCACATAGCGGATTCTTGACCAACTTTAAAAATATTCAAACTTGAATACGTCGTGATTGTTAATTTCGTTTTCAATCAACATTATGCTAACAAGGATTCAAGACTTCCGTCATTTTAAAATGACCGAAAAGTTCCTCTCGTTGTGATATTTTGTAAAATTAACGTAGCTAATTACATTAGGGCAGACTATGTCCAAACGACAAGTACAGTACGTTACACAGCTTTTTAATTTTATTCACTTTCTTAATACTGGTTGAAATATGTTTTCATTGTATAGCTATTTTAAATCTTATTATATGCTATCATTATGATTAAACTACTTTTTTCTTCTATCATCTACTATCCGTGATATTTGCAGTGCTTCTGTACCGTTGCTCTACCTGATAAAGAAAATGACAATGTTGGTCGACCCTTGGATTCATCGAATACCATGTATTCCTCAAACTATTGATCTTGACCCTACGAGTTTGAGTTAGCGGGGTTTTACTGTTCATGATTTGAGTATCGTAAACCTTGGAAAATATCTAAGATGGGTATACCCATGAGTAAATACTCATTGTTGAGACCTGAAAGATATTTGCCCCCCAGGATGAAACATGTAATAGACAGCAAGTTTGTTCAGCAGGGAACATACAACTGCACAGCACACATTGCTCATTGGATTTTTCTATTATATTAGGAGGCCTATTAGTTGCTA